TAATCACTTAACCTCTGTACCCTTCATCAAGCATCCATTCCTCTTCCATTGTTCTGTTACCCCTTTCTCATCCGCTTGAAGAACCGACCGTGTGTGTTTCTGTACTCATGGCTCATCTGTCACCTTCCTTCACCAGTGTTGCATTTTCAGTATCTGTTTTTCTAAGGTTTTACTAGCTGGTGATGTTTCCCTGTACTGTTCTCTGTTGAGGATTTTCCTTGACAGTCTTTCCTTGACTGTTTTTCCAAATGGCTTTAATTTTCTTAGGTTCTTAGTGGAAATGCTGCTGGCCCCTAATTGAGATTGCAGTCTTTGAGGCGTGTTGACATTTGTATTTGGTTTTCCCATTAAGGGCCAAGTCTGTATCATGCAAAAATTTAAAAAACAGGATCAATGCTTTTTTTTTACTTTATTGTGGTTGATAAGAGGTGATGTGATTCTGAAACAGCTGGTTATGGTGCTCAACCAGGAAAGAAGGCTATTTCATTCAGTTCAAAAAACATTTTATTAAATTCTCATGATGTGGTTGGTACTGTGGACATTGAATCCCGAAATGAGGGCTCTGTATGGAATTTCAACTGGTTGGCAGGAGTTCAGAATTTGTTTTTGGTGTTAGGACAGAATTCTGTGAAAGAAATCACATTGTCCTCCTCTCTATCTAAAGGAATAGTTTCTCAAGAGTACACTATAGATAGAATGAAAATAACAAGTTGCCAGAGCTTTTCATAAGACATCCTCGTATGTGCTGGCTAGAAAACCTAAAGTGATTATCAGTTGCTCTGTTAACATTTTAAAAAGTTTTTTCCCTACCAAGAAAGTAATCTGTGGCCAGTCTAACTTTTATCCATCAGCAGTCTGATAAATCTACCTCAAAAATAAATCTCAAACCCATGTACTTTTCTCCATACCTACTGATGTCTCCATTTTGCTACTAACTCTCTAGTTCAAGTCACCAGTGTCTCTTTTTTAAAATCAGTTTTTATTGTAGTATGGTTGATCTGTAATGTTTTAGCTTCTGCTCTACAGTGAAGTGAATCAGGTATACATACCCATGTATCCACCCATTTTTAGATTCTTTTCTCATACAGGTCATTAGAGTATTGAGTAGAGTTCCCTGTGATTTACAGTGGATTATTAGTTAGCTATATATAGCAATGTGAGTATGTCCATCCCAGTCCCCCAGTTTATCCCTCCTTGCTTTCCCCCTTGGTCACCATAAATTTGTTTTCTATAGCTGTGACTCTCTTTCTGTTTTATAAGTTCATTTGTACCATTTTTTTTTAATAAGCAACGTCATATGATTTTTGTCTTTCTTTGACTTACTTCACTCAGTATGACAATCTCTAGGACCATCCATGTCACTGCTAATGGCATTATTTTATTCTTTATTTGTGGCTGAGTAGTATTCCATTGTATATATGTACCACGTCTTTATCCATTCCTCTGATGATGGACATTTAGGTTGCTTCCATGTCCTGGCTATTGTAAATAGGGCCGCAGTGAACATTGGGGTGCATGTATCTTTTTGAATTACAGGTTTTATCCAGATACATGCCCAGGAGTGGGATTGCTGGATCATACGGTAGGTCTGTTTTTAGTTTTGGGTTTTTTTTTTTTCTGTTTTTAGTTTTTAAAAGAACTTCTGTATTGTTCTCCATAGTGACTGCACAAACTTATATTCTCACCAACAGTGTAGGATGGTTCCTTTTTCTCTACTCCCTCTCCATCATTTATTGTTTGTAGATTTTTGATGATAATGGCCATTCTGACCAGTGTGAGATATCTTATAGTTTTCATTTTCATTTCTCTGATTTTGAACATCTTTTCATGTGCCTCTTGTCCTATGAGAAATGTCTATTTAGATCTTCCACCCATTTTTTGACTGGGCTTTTTTTTTTTTTTTTATTAAATGTTGAGCTGCATGAGCTCTTTGTATGTGACCAGTATCTTTTACCTGGACCTTTGCTATTGCTTTGTAACTTGTATCCTTGCTTTTCTCTTGCCCACATTTACAAGCTTTTCCCACACAGGCACTGTAGTGATTTTTTTTATTATTACAGAAATTATCAGAGCTTAAAAGTATAATTGATGTACAAATTATCCTCTCTCAGGCATTATTAATAATCCACTCACCAGGTGTCATATTATTTTGTATATAAATACTTAAATTCTTTTGTATAAGATACGGTCTCCTTTAAAAAAGAATCATGTGAAAGAAAAGAATCATGTGATAGTTACACAACTCTGTGAATATACTAAAAACCATTGAATTGTACACTAAATGAGTAAATTGTATGGAGTGTGAAGTCTCTCAACAGAGCTATTAAAAAAATAGCCATGATGGCATTATCCTATTAATAATTTTGTAATTTCTCAAAAATCATCAAATAGCTAAAGTCCACATTTCCCCAAATATTCTTGAAAAGTTCTTTTAACACACTTTGACAGAGTTTGAAACATAAGTCAGATCATGTTATTCTTTTACCCAAAACCTTTCTGTGGCTTTCCATCATATTTAGGATAAAACCCAGAGTCCTTGTACTGGTTCACAAAGGTCTGACCTCCCAACAAGCCCTTACAGGATGTGACTTCTCTTTCCCTCTGCCTCTCTTGCCCACCTAACTGTTCCTACCTCAGGGCCTTTGTATCAGTAGTTGTCTCTGCTTGCAGGGTCTTTCCCCTGTTTTCTCATGAGGCTGGACCCTTTCAGTTTCAACATCCTCCCTCAGAAAGACTTTCCCCATCAGTCTTCTAGTCTCCAATCTGGAGTGGCTTCTCAGTCATTCTTTTTCAGAACATTCACTTAAAAATGTTGGCATAGCCTGGGTGGTGGTTGTTTAGTTGCTGAGTTGTGTCTGACTCTTTGCCGCCTGATGGTGTGCAGCACGCCAGGCTCCTCTCACCTTCACTGTCTCCTGGAGTTTGCTCAAACTCATGTCCATTGAGTCAGTGATGCCATCCAACCATCTCATCCTCTGTGGCCGCCGCCTCCTCCTGCCCTCAGTCTTTCCCAGCATCAGTCTTTCCAATCAGTTGGCTCTTCGCATCAGGTGGCCAAAGTATTGGAGCTTCAGCGTCACTCCTTCCAATGAATATTCAGGATTGATTTTCTTTAGGATTGATTGGTTTGATCTCCTTGCTGTCCAAGGGACTCTCAAGAGTCTTCTCCAGCACCAGAGTTCAAAAGCATCAGCTCTTCGGCACTTAGCCTTCTTTATAGTCCAACTCTCACAGCCATACTTGACACCTGGAAAAACCATAGCTTTGAGTTTACAGACCTTTGTCAGCAAAGTGATGTCTCTGCTTTTAAGTATGCTGTCTGGGTTTGTCATGGCTTGTGTTATTATTTGCTGTATTCTATTTTATTAATTTGTCTTTCCCTTTTTCTATATCACACCCCCCCCCCAATTTTTTTTTCTGTCCTGTTCACTACTGAATCCCCAGTGCCTGAAATATTGTCACATAATAGACTCATTAGACAATTTTACAAAAAATTGTCCTACACATACCAGGTGATTGGTATTTATAAAAAGTTTATTTGATAGAATGTGTCACTTCCTGTGTAAATAGAGTTCCAGTCTGATAGGTTATTTCTTCAAAGACCTGGGTTTTTTTGTTTTTTTAATTGTAAATATCTTTTGTTTCTCTGGGCTTCCCTTGTGGCTCAGATGGTAAAGGATCTGCCTGCAATGCAGGAGACCTGGGTTCAGTCCCTCGTTGGGGATGATCCTCTGGAGATGGGAATAGCTACCCTCTACAGTATTCTTGCCTGGAGAATTCCGTGAACAGAGCAGCCTGGTGAGTTATAGTCCATGGGATTGCAAAGAATTGGACTCGACTGAGCAACTAACTTTCACTTTTGTTTCTCTAGGAATTGGAAACTCTTGAGGGTATGAGATGATTGTTTAGTTTGCATCCTTCACATAGTGTTCTGCTCACTTCAGAACTCGTTAAATAATTCACACACAAATTCTGTTTTTGTCATTTGGCCAAACACAGAGTGCTTGTGTGTGTAAGTTGAGAAGTTACCGTGACACCTTATGGTTTCATTCTCTGTGGTCCCTTTTTCCTTCTGCCCTCAGTTGTGGACCATCACAGACTTAGTCTGTGAGTTGTCTCTGCCACCTGTTCTCCAGTGAGATAGCTTAAGAGCAGCTGTGATGAGCTGAATAATGCTCCCCCAGTGATGTGGTTAGTTGAGTATCTGGAGGTAATGAGAGAATCTTGAATTCTCCAGGTGGGCCCAGTGTAATCACGAGGGTCCTTCCTTTTGGGGAGGAGGCAGGAGGATCAGAATATTGAGAGAGGAAAAATCTAAACAGAGGTTGGAATGATGCACTTTGAAGGTGGAGGGAGGGACCATGAATCAAGGGGATGTAGGCAACCTCTGGAAAAGGCAAAGGAAGAGATGTTCCCCAAGAGTCTCCAGAGGATGGCAGCCCCTCCAGTAACCTGGTTATTGGCCCAGTGAAACTGAGTGTGGATTCATGACCTCTCCAGCTGTAAGGGAATCATTTGTATTGTTTAAACCCACAACATGCATGCTAAGTCGCTTCAGTTGTGTCCGGCTCTGTCCGACCCTACGGACTGTAGCCTGCCAGGCTCCTCTCTCCATGGGATTTTCCAGGCAAGAATATTGGAGTGGGTTGCTGTGCCCTCCTCCAGGGGATCTTCCCACCCAGGGATCCAACTCATGTCTCTTACATCTCCTGCATTGCAGGGATAATTTGTTACAACAACCTTAGGAAACTCACAGATTGACTTTCAGCAAGAAAGCCTGAATGATCACAGAACTTATCCAGAGTGTTCAGAGTTTAGTTTGATTTGCTGGCTTAATAGTTACTGAAAAAGAGGCTGTAAAGAATTGACATGGCAACTTCAGGTAGGTGATTTGGGGCGTAGTTGATGGAACAGGAAAGATTACTACGTGCTATCATAGCAGCATCAGTTTTATAGTAGAATTAAGCACTTGATGGCCTTCTTCCTTGTATTTTACACAGATCAGAAGCCTCTTGATCTTGCCCAGAGTGCTGAAATGAAACATGTTCTTGTTGGTAATAAGGTATGTGGTAATGGATTGCATTTATATATGTAAAAAAAAATTTTGAGTTCTTGAAACACCTAGATGTGCTTTTAACAAAAACATGGTTTTTTTAATAGATCGTATACAAAGCTTTGAAACGATATGAAGGTCCTCTTTGGAAGGTAGGTTGGAATGAGTTTTTAATTATACTTCTGGAAGAAAGATTTCTTAGGTGATCTCTTGTTAAAATTTGTTTTCATCATTTTCTGAAGTATGTGATTTAGTAATTATTTGATCTTATAATGTAAACCATTATTATACTGCTGGACTTCATCAGGCATCCAGTGATTGTAGCAATTAACTGTCTTTTGTGTTGGTCTGACACTTTTAGGTGGCCGAGTTTGTACAGAGCAGAGTGGAGGGATTTTTTTTTCTTAAGCATAGGATTACACTATCATTTTTGTTATGAACATTGATCTGTGGAAGACTCAGGAGGAATTTAATATTTAAATTGTCACAGAGCACACATGTAAAATCTTTCTGGTTATAAAAATTTCTTTGCGTTTTAGAGTTCAGTTATTTTCTAGAATTAACTATTTTGGAGCACATAGTTTCTTTTGCATTTGAAAGTGCTCCTTCTATATATTTATGTACATGTCTGTCTGTAGTGTATAAAATTTGGGATAATTTTCTTTTTTTAGAAGCTCTTTCAGAACTTTGAGGAAATTGTCTTTGAAGCCCACCACTGATACATTTTCCTATAAATATTCTAGCACAGTATTGTCAGAACTATAAACCGTGTTCGTTGTTGATCTTACCAGTACGGCATTGCTTCTGTTCCTGTCACTCTGTAGGGTATGTTTTCATTTCTGCACTCAGTTTCCAGTTAACTTTTGATCATTTTTGAGTGTGCAGTGGTACTGTCAAGATGAAAGGCTCAGATAGAACTATCATAACTTAATTACTTTTTATCAGTCAAGTATTTGAATCTAGATGTATCAGCTTGGAAAAATCTTTGTTATTTTTCCCTTAGAGTTCAAGGTTTTTTGGCTGGAGGTTATTCTGGGTAGTGTTAGAACATGGAGTCCTCTCATGGTATAGGAAGCAGTAAGTATTATGATCTTTAATACTTCTTGAGTTTCAGCATCTACATTTTGAGTGATTAAAACTTTTCACTAATTTCTTTTCCTTTTGCCTTGATGATGTATATTTATTTTGAAGGCCCGATGCAGTCCATAATACTTATCGCCAAGGATGCAAACACCTAACTCAAGCGGTGTGCACGGTAGGATGACACACGCATCTTTCGCTTAAACTGTGAACTCAGTCCTGCAAGTGATTGCGTTCAGTCATTGGAATGAGCTGCTTTGTAAAATCTTGGGGGTGGAAAGCATGTGTGCAGTTTGGCCCTCCCTATTTGTGACTTCTGCATCTGCTGATTCCCCCACCCGTGGATCGAAACCATACAGGAAAAAAAAATAAATTCCAGAAAGTTCCAAAAAGCAAACTTGAATTTGCCATGTACCAGCAACTATTTACGTAGTGTTTGCATTGTAATAGGTATTATAAATAATCTGGAGGTGATTTAAAGCAAGCCAGAGTTGTGTGCAGATACTATGCCATTTTATGATCTGTTGCCCACAGATACTGAGGGATGACTGCATATGTTTTTACTTGAGAATAAGTAAAGTTGTGGAATTCCATTTAAAAACTATAATCAGCTTTTTAAAAAAGTCTGTGTATTGTGGGATAAGAGAAGCATGATCCAAAAACATTTATACAGAACGTTTACCGTTTTGTATGTGTATGTATATATGTATGTGTATATATTTACACATGTGTATGCACGTAGATATCTGTATATGTGCATGTATGTGTATCTTTGAACATGGGTACATCGGGATAATGAAAATTTTTCTGGTGGTAAAATTTAAAGCCTATATCAAAATCAGGATGTTTAGGTTCTCTATAATCCCATCTGGCTGTTTTACTTTTACCAGCTAGGAGAAAGAGTTTTTCCTCCATGGAGATTAGTCTAACACTGGAGCCTGGACACTCTTGTTAGCTTGCTGCTTCAGTTTCTTTAGGGTTGTCAGCATGCCACAGCGGTGCACCCTTTTTTTAAAGCATAGGACTCAGGACTTACCCGCATGGTCCAGTGGCTAAGACTCTGCATTTCCAGTACTTTTACTGCACAGGGTGTGGGTTCGATCCCTGGTCGGGTAACTAAGATCCCACATGCTGCACAGCCAAAAATAAACTGATAGCACCATTTAAAAACAAAACAAAAAAGCAACAAAAACCCCAGCACCCACCTTTCTGTGTGAACACTGCTGGGGGACCAGCAGCACACCCTAGAGGTGTCACGGGCTTGGTCCCCCGCCCCTGCAGTCCAGCCTCCTTACATACCTGGTCCCTTAGTGTCCTACACCTCTTTCTCCCTTGCGTTGGACCAGGGGGCCAGGGAAGTGCCGTCTAGCCTCAGCCATCTAATCTTCCCTTTTGTTGGTGCCTCCCAGCCGTTCTCATCTGTTCCAGCTTTTGATTCATTTACTGAACTCCAAGGTTTTTCCTCAGTTGGGTTCTTTCTCTTTCTTTTTTTGGTTGTTGTTTTTTCTCATTCTTGTCTACCTTTAAACAAAAAATTACAGAAGTTGTTCCCCTGATCCTTTTAAAATTTCCTGATCTTTAATTTCTTTAGAATTGCTTAGATCCTGCTATGTTATGCCTCACCTTGTTTATAGTTTTTGCTTCTTCTATAAAACATCTGTTTAAAGCCTGCATTTATGGGGCTTCCCTGGTAGCTCAGCTGATAAAGAAACCGCCTGCAATGTGGGAGACCTGGGTTCAATCCCTGGATTGGGAAGATCCCCTGGAGGAGGGCATGGCAACCCACTCTAGTAGCAACCCACTGCCTGCAGAAACCCCATGGACAGAGGAGCCTGGCAGGCTACAGTCCATGGGGTCGCAGAGAGTGGGACACGACTGAGCGACTCAGCAGCAGCAGCAGTGTTAACTGTATTCACTTTGTTGTCCGGCAGATCTCTAGAATTTTCTCATCTTGCAGAACTGAAACTTGATACACGTGTAATAGCACCTCTCTATTTCCCATACCCCCACCCCCTGGCAACCACCATTCTGCTTTGTTTCTATGCTTTGACTACTTTAGATGTCTCACCTGAGTGGAATTATACAGTACTTGTCAGGTTTATTTCACTTAGCATAATGTCCTTAAGGTTCATCCATGTTATAGCATGTGACAGGATTTCTTTTCTTAAGGCTGAATAATATTCTACTGTTACGTATAGACCACATTATCTGTTCCTCTATTAATGGATGTTTGAATTGTTTCTACCTTTTGGCTGTTGTGAATAATGCTGCTATAAACATGAGTGTGAAAATGTCTCATCAAGGTCCTGCTTGCATTTCTTTTGGATGTAAACCTCAGTGTGGAATTGGTGGGGCATATGGTGATTCTGTTTTTAGTTTTTTAGGGAACTTGCATACTGTTTTCCATAGCATCTGCACCATTTTACATTCATATCAACAGTGCTCCACTTTCTCCACATCCTCACTGCAACACTCATTTCAGAGGGTTTTGTTTCTTTGCCATTCTAATAGGTATGAAATGGTATCTAACTATAGTTTGATTTTCATTGCCTTGATTACTAGTGATATTGACCATCTTTTCATGTACTATTGACCACATGTATATTGTCTTTGGAGAAATGCCTGTTTAATTCTCTTGCCCATTTTTTAATCAGGTCTTTTGTTTCCTTGTTGGTGTTGAGTTGTAGTTTTTTGTATATTCCAGATATTATCTCCATATCAGGAACATTTTATTTTTTTAGATACTTATTTTTTTATATAAATATTTGCAATATTTTCTACAATTTCATAGGTTGTCTTTTCACTCTGCTAATAATGTTCTTTGCACAGACGTGTTCATTTTTTGTGTAGTCTAATTTATGTTTTTTTTCTTTTGTCACTTGGACTGTTGGTATCACATCCAGGAAACCACTTCCAAGTCCAGTGCCATGAAGCTTTCTTCCCATGTTTTCTTGTAAGAGTTTTATAGTTTTAGCTCTGACATTGAGGCATCTGTTTCTCCTGAGGCATTTCTCCTTGGCTTGTAGGTGGCAGCCTTCTTGCTCTGTCCTCACATGGCTGTTCCTCTGTGTGCAGGCATCCCTGCTTCCTTTTTCTCTCCTTGTAAGGACATCAGTCATACTGGGCTAGGGTCCCACCCTTATGATCTCATTTTACCTTAATTACCCTTTATAAAACCTTATAAAAGCCCTATCTCCAAATGTAGTTTCACTGGGGATTAGGGCTTCAACATATAAAGCCCTTAATCTGGTTGAGTAAGTTCTTTTTCCTTTCCTAGCTAACTGGGAGTCCGCATTATGAAAATCTGTTGAACTTTATTAAATGCTTTTCCCATATCTTCAAAATGCTCATATAGTTTTACTCATTTTGTTAATATGATTATATTGATAGACTTTAGGGGGTTAAAATCAATCTTACACTTCTGGGACAAATCTCAGGAGGTTGTGATATATTACCATTTTAATATATTGTTCATAAATACTTTGTTAAGAAGTTTTGCTTTTTTGTTCATGATGAATATTTGTTTATATTTCTCCCGTGGTGTTTGTATTTCTCCTGTGGTATTATCTGGTCTCACATAATGAACTAGAAAATGTTCCTTTTCAGTTTTCCAGAAGAGTTTGTATAGGATTAGGTCACTGCTTCCTTAAATACTCACTAGAATTTGCCTGTGCAGTCACATGGGCCAGGATGCTTGTGTGTGTGTGTGTGTGTATGGGGGAGAGGACTGTCCTTACAAATTTGACTTGTTCAGTTGCTATAGGGCTAAGCATGAATATATGCTATAGGGCTATTTCTTCTGTGTTAGTGTTTGTAATTTTTGCCTTTCAAGGAATTTGTCCATTTTCTTTTGGCTATAAAACTTAGGGTAATATTATTCCCTTGTGTTTTTAATGTCTGTGTGAAAGATAATGTTGTACACTCTTTCACTTTTTATATTGGTAATTTATGTCTTCTCTTTTTTTCAAAGATCAATCTTCCTAGCACTTTGTCACTTTTATTTTCCAAGTGATTGATTTCATTCTCTTGATTTCATTGAAATTTTTCTCATGCTTTTGCTATTTCTTTGATTTTCGTTTGTTTTAAAGAATTTCTCTGTGTTTTGGGCTTAATTTGCTCTATTTTATAGTTTCTTAAGGTTGAAGCTTAGATTATTCAAATTACCATACAATTCAAAATATATTCTAATTCCTGTTGTGATTTCTTCTTTGAACCAATGGATGTTTGGGAGTGTGTTGTTAAATTCCCAAATAATTGGAGTTTTCATGATTGTGTTTTTGATTTATAGTTTCATTTTGGTCATTGCACATATTCTATATGATTTCCATCTTGTCAAATTTATTGAGACTTGCTTGATGACTCTAATATGGATTATTGTGGAGAATGCAGTAGAGAATAACCTGTATTTTGCTCTTGTTGGCATGTCCTATAAACATTCAGTCATGATGGTTGATATTGTTGTTTAGATGTTTTGTGTCTTGCTGACTTTTTTTTTCATTGTGTCAATTGCTGAGAGAATGGTGTTTAAGCTCCAAATATATCTGTAGCATTATTTATTTCTGTTATTGATCACACACATATTTATGATTGTTGTCTTCCTGATTAATTGACCCTTTTATCATTATGTGGTAGCCATTTTTATCTCCTGTAATAATGCATTTTGTTTTGAAATCTATTCTGTTTGATATTAATATAACCTTTCAGCCCTTTTTATGGTTACTGTTTGCATAATATCTCTTTTTGTATCTACTTTCAACCTACCTATATATTTATTTTCTGTAGAACTCTTGTAGATAGTGTATTTTTGGGTCCCTGTTAACCATTCTGACATTTTTTGCCTTTTAATTAGATTTCTTTTGAACTTGTGGTACACTTTTTTGGATTGTATCACTAATGTTAAGTTCTAGAGATCCTGGATCCTATTATTTTTCTCCATTGAAGGCTATTCCATTGTTTCAGGTCACTTTCGTGACTAGGTTTGGATTGTAAGCTCTGTTTCTCATACAGCAGCTCTGGTCTGCATTCAGCTAGGATGGTGTCCAGTGACTGCTTGGAATCTATTTTCTACGCATCAGTAAGAGATGTTAGCAGAGTTGGGGAATCCCGTCTTGCTCTTTCCTTTGGGAGACTCCCCTACTGTCTCTAGTATTTGTGGCTGCCCAGCTTTGCTTTTTTAATTTCCAAAGACCGACTGTTATCCAAGTACACCCCACTGCTGTTTGGTCTCCCCCCGGGATGTGCTACTTCAGGTGAACTGTCTTGGGGATCGGAAGTGTTAGTCACTCAGTTGTGTCCGAGTCTTTGCTACGCTGTGAACTGTAGCCCACCAGACTCCTCTGTCCGTGGGACTCTCCAGGCCAGAATACTGGAGTGGACTGCCATTCCCTTCTCCAGAGTATCTTCCCAACCCAGGGATCGAACCTGGGTCTCCTGCATTGCAGGTGATTCTTTACCACCTGAGCCACTTGGGAAGCTGGACTTGGTTGCAAGGTGACGTGCTCTCCCATCGAGTCGGCCAGCCCTTGTTCAGACTCCAGCTCTTCCTTTTCTACTCCTCATGCTTTTACACGCAGTTTATTTTCTATACTCAAATCAAACAAAAGGTTCAGGAGAGTGGCATGAGTTAGAAACTGGAGCTCTGCTATTTAAAGGACTTTATAGCCCAAGTGCATGCTATGTTAAATATTTAATAGGATAAGGGGAAAACTATATACCTAGTGTATATTATTAGTATTTACTTTGAGTAATGAAGCATATGAAAGCCAGACTTGGTGTAGATAAGCTACAGTGCATTTGGTACTCCCAACATTATCACTTTTTTCTCAGTATTTTAAATGTTTACTTGGGTATTATTGTCATGTTAATAGTGTTGATTTTATGTGTAGATCATTTAAGGGTTCTGTTTTACGGGCATGAATAGTATTGTCTTACTGACTTCTTTATATCCAAGGTAAAATCCACTGATAGCTGCCTCTTCTTTATTAAATGCTTCGATGACACTGTTCATAGCTTCAGGGTTCCCAAGAACAGCCTTCAGCAGACAAGAGAGGTAATTTTATGGATTTATTTGTCTTTCGTAAAGCAGTGTTTAAGGACATAAAGAATATCAAATAGGCTCAATATTAACATCTGCCCTCTTGTTGATTATGCCTTTTTAATGGGAGTGATGATAACAAAACTTTTGAAATTTGACTTATGAATTAATTCCATATCAACATATACCTGCAGGTATTTTCTCTTTTTTTAAGATTTTGCTTCTGTGAAATTAAGGGGCCCTTAGTGGTTTTAGAAAAAAGCCTAAATGATTATTCAGTCCGCCCCTGAGTTTATAGGTGAGGAAACTGAAGACGATGAGGTTGAAGTGCCCTCTTACGGTCATGCAGCTGGCGAGTGACAGAGCCTGGCTCCAGCCCAGGTGTTCTGATTTATTACACTGTAGATTCAGCCTCTCTCTCTGGTAATTTGAATGATAGCGGCAAGCAAGAAAATTGGGATTGATGTGACAAAAATGCATTGTGTAGTTATTTAATGGAGACTCCATATTCCTTTAGATCAAGGCAGTATTGTAAACTTACCTTGTTTTTTATAAATTATGTAAGGAGTTAAAAGGATCTGTCTTCCAGGGGCTTCCCTAAGTAGTGGGCTTCCCTGATAGCTCAATTGGTAAAGAATCTGCCTGCAATGCAGGAGACCCCGGTTTGATTCTTGGGCTGGGAAGATCTGCTGGAGAAGGGATAGGCTGTCCACTCCAATACTGTTGGGCTTCCCTTGTGGCTGAGCTGGTAAAGAATCCGCCTGCAATGTGGGAGGCCTGGGTTCAATCCCTGGGTTAGGAAGATCTCCTGGAGAAGGGAACAGCTACCCACTCCAGTATTCTGGCCTGGAGAATTCCATGGACTGTATAGTCCATGGGGTTGCAAAGAGTCAGACATGGCTGGGCAACTTTCCCTTTTCCCTAAGTAGTGTAGTGTATAAGAATCTGCTTACTGGCGCGGGGGACGTGGGTGCGATCCCTGCTCTGGGAGGATCCTGTGTGACACCTGCTGAGCCTGTGCCCTGAAGCCCAGGAGCCTTGGCTCCTGAGCCCGTGTTCCCTAGAGCCTGTGCCCTGCGACAAGAGAAGCCGCCACAGCGAGAGGCCCTCCCACAGCTGGAGAGTAGCCCCAGTGCTCTGCTGCTGGAGGAGAAGCCTGTGCAGCCAAAAATAAATGTGTAAAATAAAAATTAAAAAATGTGTTTTCCAGAATGATTAACTTTTGCCTTGCAGAGAACACTAAGCAATCCAAACCATGTCTGCCGTAACGTTTCGTAAAAGGGTAAGATTTCATCCTGAGAAATGAGATAGAAGTTAGGTATTTTTAGGGCAGACAGTCCATCATTTTGTAAATCACTGATTTTTTTAAAAACAGTACAAGTTAAAACAAGGCAATTTTTGGTTCTCTTAAAATGATCCAAGTTTCTTGTGCCTATGGCAGCTTAGTAAATTGTTGCTAGATGTATTATTATGCAACAACTTATTCAACAGAGTTGCGAACCTATAATTCTTAAGTGAAAAATACTCCACCCATTGTTTTGTTTTTGTAATGTGTTTCAGTATTAATATGAATGAATACGCAAACTTACAGATGATGTTTTTTAAAGGATTGGGAAAATTTTTATCCAGACATGTCATGAACAAGAGACCTGCATTGTTACTTTCTTTTTCTTTTCATCGTTACTTTGTTGTTGGGTGTATTTTGCTTTGCTTTTTTTTTTTTTTTTGAAGCCATGATACTTTTTTTTCTCCTTGGAAATTTTATGCTTTTCAGATTGTCATAATATGTGTTTCTAGTTAAAAGTGTATTTCACTTAATTAAATCATTGGACTATCTCAGGACTGGTTGGAAGCAATAGAAGAGCATTCTGCTTACAGCACGCACTACTGTTCCCAAGACCAAATGACTGATGACGAAGAGGATGATGCAGTTTCTGCTGTAGACTTGAAGGAATCCTTAGAGGTAGGTGGAAAAGGTAACTTGACCTGTACAGCTAGCTCTATCACTCAGGTTTTACTAAGAATATTTTTCTTAATATGAGGTTTAAAAATTAAGATTTCTGTCCACAATGCAAATAGTATTACTCTTTTTGTAATATTCTTCTATACTGTCTCTCTTATGTAATAACTATCAAATATCTGTAAATAGGCTGTAATGATAGGCATGTGCCTATGTATATCTTTTTTGGTTAAAATGTTTATGCTGTGATCAGACTGTCATTCTCTTTGAAAGCTGCCGCCAGGAGGGGAGGCATGCACTGCTTGCCTTACTGCCCTTTATGACTTCACTGTATATTCAGAGTTTAAATAATGCAACCATAGTGATACCTTCCCTGGTCTGTAGTTTCATTTAAAAGCAGGTGTAATCTCTGACTTCCTTGATTAGAGGTAAGGTTAAAGCATCAGTGATGAATGGAGAGGCCCTCATCTGAAGTAACATCAATGCCTCATCCATAGAGACATACCAACATACGTAATTGAAATGAAATAGGTACCTTTTTTTTTGGCATCAGTTTTGTGGCTATACCTTTTAAATGAATGGGTTTGGAAGAATTAGAACTATAAAAGGATAATGTGTTTTGATTTAAATAATTAGAACATGTGAATTTGCCTAATCTTTTTTAAAATGAAATGAATTTATTGCAGAATTTGAATGTTTCTACATCAACAACTTTAGTGAATTTAAGTTTACTAATTTCTAAGGAGTTTTATTGACTTAAAGATCTATCAACTTAAAATAAGAGATTCAGGTATTTTGAACCCCTAATCTTATTATGGAACATGAAAAAATGTGAGCCCTTCGATGTTTGTTGAAGACATTCCCCAGAAGTTGACTGTTACCTTACCAGCACCCCTTCTCTTTTAAAGCTGAATATGTAACATGACAACCATAAACATAATTTTCAGATCGGTGAACTGTGCAAAAGTAACATGTAGCAGAACGTCTAAATAACATTAAAACTGTTCAAATAAATAAAGAAGGTTTAAATATCTATACTCAAAGTCATGTTAGACAAGTAAAAAATAAAACTGTGCTAAATAGTTTAACTTTTAATCAGTGTTCCTTAAATGAAAAGAACTCCTTCCCTATTTATGTACCCTCAACAAAAGGGTAACTAATAAAACCTGGAAGGGCTTACAAGGCACGACAACTTCTTTCCCAGGATTATGGTAATTTTAAGACCTTTTTAATGGAAGCTACAGGTAAAATATAAGCATACTAAGTTGCATATCATTAAAAAAACTTTCTTGAAGAAATGTTTCTTCTTTAGCTTTTCAAATTTTGGAGTTATCAAGCACAACTCTACCTTTTATTTCTTAGTTGAATATTGTGTTCTTATGTTAACTTTAAAGTCATGAGGTTTTTGCCTTCTAGATTTTATAGCACCTGAAGTCAATGAGAGTTTGAGCCAGTGTTAAGTACTTGAGGTTTTGCAGGTTTACACTTACCTTTTTCTAGCAGAAGTGGAATGCTAATTCTGGGAATCTTCACTCTGTCTCAGTTTCTGGAGGTTGGTCAGAAAAGGTAAAATCTGACATGAGCCTGAATTATAGCTTGTGGTAGACCTGCTCCAGAATACCCTCAGTCCTTGGACTCTTAGGTTGCAGAGAAATACTGGGACCAATTTGTGAAATAGGTCTATTCTAGATGTCTATAGACTTCCTAAAGGAAATGAGGAACTCTTGGACTGGAATGTTCTGAAATTACCTGAATTAACATATAATTAACCTCATTGCCTCAACATGCTTTTGAACAAGTAGACTTATAAGAAATTGGGGGATTAGGGGAGTGTCCACAGAGTGACTATGTCATAGGATGCTCTTGGTCCCATTATACCTCTTCAATGAGGGGTCTTCAGAAACTTAAAACATTTTGTCTTAGCCCTCAGTCTGTCACTGTCTTGAGGTTTGGCCTACAGGGAGAAAAGTTGTAAGACAAATCATAAAAATATTGTATTGGCCTTACAGTTGTTGCCTTCATGGCATCTTGAAAATAGTTCAGAAATAAAAACTGGAAGAGAAATTCAAGCAGGTGTTGGTATAGAACTTTACTGTCTAATATGACTGCTACTAGAAACATATGACTATTTACATTTAAATGAATTAAATGAAAAATCCAGTAAGTTTTTTTTTTAATTTTCGGAGCTGTGCTGGGTCTTCATTGCTCTACTTGTAGCAAGCGGGAGCTACTATCCAGTTGCAGTGCACCACCTTCTCATTGTGGTGGCTTCTCTCATTGCAGAGCACAGGCTCTAGGGCGCATGGGCTTCAGTAGTTGCAGTTCCTGGTCTTCAAAGCACAAGCTGAACATACAGGCACATGGGCTTAGTTGCTCCGTGACATGTGGGATCTTACCTTGACCTGGAATCTAACCTGTGTCTCCTGCATTGGCAGGTGGCTTCTTTACCACTGAGCCACCAGGGAAGTCCTAGTTCCTTATTTTAATTAGCCACATTTCAAGTGTTCAGCATTTTGGACTCTTTTGTTGACTATGAGAGGTACTCCATTTCTTCTAAGGGATTCTTGCCCACAGTAGTAGACATAATGGTCATCTGAGTTAAAATTCACCCATTCCAGTTCATTTTAGTTCACTGATTCTTAAAATGTTGATGTTCACTCTTGCCATCTCCTATTTGACCACTTCCAATTTACCTTGATTCATGAACCTAACATTCCAGGTTCCTATGCAATATTGCTCTTTACAGCATCAAACTTGACTTCCATCACCAGTCACATCCACAACTGGGTGTTGTTTTTACTTTGGCTCTGTCTCTTCATTCTTTCTGGAGTTATTTTCCCACTGTTTTCCAGTAGCATTGGGCACCTACCGAACATCTTTGAGTGTCCTGTCTTTTTGCCTTTTCATACTGTTCGTGGGGTTCTGAAGGCAAGAATACTGAAGTGTTTTGCCATTCCCTTCTCCAGTGGACCACATTTTGTCAGAACTCTCCACCATCACCAGTCCGTCTTGGAAGGCCCTACATGGCATGGCTCATAGTTTCATTGAGTTAGACAATGCTGTGGTCCATGTGATCAGTTTGGTTAGTTTTCTGTGATTGTGGTTCTCATTTTGTCTGGCCTCTGATGGAGAAAGATAAGAGGCTTATGGAAGCTCCCTGATGGCAGAGACTGACTGAGGGGAAAACTGGGTCTTGTTCTGGTGGGTGGGGCCATGCTCCATAAATCTTTAATCTAATTTTCTGTTGATGGGCAGGGCTATGTTCCCTCCCTGTCGTTTCACCTGAGGCCAAACTGGGGTGGAGGTAATGAAGATAATGGTGACCTCCTTCAAAATTTCCCAAGCATGCACTGCTGCACTCAGTGCCCTGAACCCTGCAGCAGGCCACTGCTGACCCACACCTCTGCTGGAGACTCCTGGACACTGACGGGCAAGTCTGGGTCAATCTCTTGTGGGGTCATTGCTCCTTTCTCCTGGGTCCTGGTGCACACAAGGTTTTGTTTGTGCCCTCCAGGAGTCTGTTTCCCCAGTCCTGCATAAGCTCTGGTGGCTCTGTGGTGGGGTTAGTAGCGACCTCCTCCAAGAGGGCTTATGTCATACCCAGGTCTGCTGCACCCAGAGCCCCTGCCCCTGTTGCAGGCCGTTGCTGACCTTTACCCCCGCTGGAGACACTCTAACACTCAAAGGCAGTTCTGGCTCAGTCTCTGTGGGGTCTCCTGATGTGCACAAGGTTTTGTTTGAGCCCTCTGAGCATTTCTGGCAGGTATGGGGTTTGATTCTAAATGGAGTTTTGCTCTTCCTACTGTCTTGCTGGGGCTTCTCCTTTGCCCTTGGACTTGGGTTCTTTTTTTTGGTGGGATCCAACATTCTTCTGTCAACAGTTGTTCAGCAGTGAGTTGTAATTTTGGAGTTCTCACAAGAGAAGATGAGCACATGTCTTTCTCTCCACCATCTTGCAAGCTAAAGGTGGTACTTGGATGCAGTCTCAAAAACGACAGAATGGTGTCTGTTCATTTCCAAGGCAAACCATTCAGTGTCAGTAATCCAAGTCTGTGCTCCAACCAGTAATGCTGATGAAGCTGAAGTTGATAGGTTCTATAAAGACCTATAAGACCTTCTAGAACTAACACCCAAAAAAGATGTCCTTTTCATTATAGGGGACTGGAATGCAAAAGTAGGAAGTCAAGAAACACCTGGAGTAACAGGCAAATTTGGCATTGGAGTACAGAATGAAGCAGGGTAAAGGATAATACAGTTTTGCCAAGGGAACACACTGGTCATAGCAGACACCCTCTTCCAACAACACAAGAGAATATTCTACACATGGACATCACCAGATGGTCAACATCAAAATCAGATTGATTATGTTCTTTGCAGCCAAAATCAGAGAAACTCTATACAGTCAGCAAAAACAAGACTGGGAGGTAACTGTGGCTCAGATCATGAACTCCTTATTGCCAAATTCAGACTTAAAGAAAGTAGGGAAAACCACTAGACCATTCAGGTATGATCTAAATTAAACCCCTTACGATTATACAGTGGAAGTGAGAAATAGAGTCAAGGGGTTAGATCTGATAGAGTGCCTGAAGAACTATGGACAGAGGTTCCTGACATTGTACAGGAGGCAGGGATCGAGACCATCCCCAAGAAAAAGATACGCAGAAAGGCAAAATGGTTGTCCTAGGAGGCCTTACAAATAGTTGAGAAAAGAGAAGCAAAAGGCAAAGGAGAAGAGGAAAGATACACCCATTTGAATGCAGAGTTCCAAAAAATAGCAAGGAGAGATAAGAAAGTCTTCCTCAGTGATCAATGCAAAGAAATAGAGGAAAACAATAGAATGGGAATGACTAGAGATCTCTTCAGGAAAATTACAGATATCAAGGGAACATTTCATGCAGAGATGGGCACAGTAAAGGACAGAAATGATATGGGCGTAACAGAAGCAGAAGATAATAAGTGATGACAAGAATACACAGTAGAACTAAACAAAGAAGATCTTTTTG